CCATGTCCAGGGTTTGTCCCTCTCCAAGACCAAATACTGTTTTCTCATTTTACTTATTTTTTGCTTGATTGAAAATAATTATTTACAAATTCAAATACTTTCATTTGACAAGCATAAAGTGAGATCCCATTACACACCTATGACACTATCAAGCTCATGGCCTCAGTGAGCATAAAATCTACTCGGGAAGACAAACTCATAAACAGGCAGTTACGATGAGATAACTTCACTGATAATAGGTGTCCCCGGGCACTCCGTGAGGTAGGAGAAGAGGGCCAGAAGGGATAATTGACCAAGCAGAGATGTTTTCTGGAAGTGATACTTCCAAAGTATTTTGAGCAGAGTTTTTAAAAGTTTTCACAAAGTAAGAATTAACCTGGTTTAGAAGATAAGCAGCATTTTAAAAAGCAGAGATATGACCAAGATTGATATGTATCAGAACTGTAAGCAGGTGGGCGGGTTCTGCTCTATTTAAAGTATAGGGCTGGGAGTGAGACTTGACGCTGAAGAGAAGTGAGACCAAACCAAGGAAGTCTTCAGCACTATGCTTGAGGGCCATTTTAAACAGTGAAACAGCCTGGCGGATATGGCTCAGTGGTTGAGCGTCCACCTGTGCACTGAGAGGTCGCTGGTTCAATTCCCAGTCAGGGTACATGCCTGGGTTGCGGGCTCAATTCCCAGCAGGAGGCATGCAGGAGGCAGCCAACGTTTCTCGCTCATTAATGTTTCCAGCTATCCCTCTCCCTTCCTCTATCTCTAAAAATCAATAAAAACATTTAAAAAAATTAAACAGTGAAACAGGTAACAAAAATGCAAAAGATGTGGCACTAAATAAATATATGGTGAAAAGGACATTTGTTTACAGAATGAAAGGGAAACAAGAAGGCAATGTCAGCTTGTTCAGCCCCAGCTGACTGCACATGTCCAGCGACTCAAATGTTTTATCACTGCCCACGTGCATGTCTGCAAATTACCATAAAAGTGCCCCATGGACTGACTTTGGGATTACAAATAAATTTTAAGAAGCAAATTAAAAAATATGGATCAATGAATAATAAGAATAAACTCAGTGTGTGTATGGTTGTGTGTGTATAAAACACCACACCGTGACATACAGAATATATCTTATTTTGGAGTACACATGTAACATTCCCAAAAGTGGATCATATATTAGGTCAAAACATCAATAATTTCCATAAGGTAGAAATATTATAAACGACACTCTCTGATAACAATGAAATAAATCAAGATACGAAGAACTCAAAATCAAGGGGTCCTTCCACCTATAAATTAAACAACTTTCTATTAAACAACTAACTCTTGGGTAAAAAGAAAAATACAAATTCTGAAAAATAATTAAAACTCTACAAGTTAGAATATATGGTATTTGTTGAGAGCTGTACAATTTTCAGAACCTTAACATCTATAACAATTCAAACTACCAATTATATTTCCTATTCCCAACTAAAAAGCCACGACGACAAGGTTTTACCTTGAGTGATGGAGTAATAGCTCCCATTGGACTAGCGTTCCCATATAGATAAACTTGTGATATAATATATAAAACTACCTAAAAGCACTAGAAAGCAACCAACAGCTAAACATAACTGGAGCAGAATTTACACTCAGGAAAAAAAATAGCACTAACATGCCAATTTTGTTAACATTAAGCCATCCATCAGAGGTTCATGAAACAGCTAAAGCTCAGAAAACCTGCAGCCTTACTTGAAGAACTAAAGAACAGAGTACAGCAAAGCAACCTCAATATCCGGAAAGCATGAAAAAAAATTCCGAGGACCCAGAGAGAAATAGCACTAAAATCTGCATATACATTGTCAAAAAATTTAGGGGCTATCCAACAAAGGGCAGCCAGAGCATTTGAGGTTTGAGTATGGCCAAGTTATATGCCTGCTTAAATAAACAAAAGCAATACTTTCCAGAGAATCATACTAAAAGCAAGTGTATCTACAATATATTAATCATAATGTCCAGAATACAAATAAAAACTACTATATATACAAAGAAACAAAATATAAAGTATACTCAAAATAAACCAAAGCAATTGATGGCCCCTGAGATGACCCAGTTTCTGACAACAGTGGACAAGGATTTAAAGCAACTATACAACATGCTCAAAGACATAAAGAAGATTATGCTCATCACGATTAAGAAATCTCAAAAACAAATTAGAATCTCTAAAAATAATCAAATAAAAATTCTACAACTGAAATAACAGCCAAAATGAATGAAGTGACTGCATAGGCATAATAGCTGTTTGGAAATGGGGGTGTGGGGAGGGGGTGTCAGTGAAATATGAAGAGAGACTGATAGAAATCAATCCAATCTGAAAAACAGAAAGTGGATACTGGGAAAATAACGAACAAAACATTAGTGACCCGTTGAACAATATCAGTCTATGTGTAATTGAAAACTCAGAGAATGGGTCCTGTATATATATAGTTGAAGAAATAATGGCTGAAACTTTCCCAAAATTCGGTAGACGTCATAAATTTATAGAATCAAAAAGGTCAAAACACCAGCAGGATAATAAATACAAAGAAAATCACACCTAGATACATCATAATCAGGTTGCTGAAAAACAATTTATAGAGATTCTTGAAAGCAGCCAGAAAAAAATATAACACTACATACAAATATTGATTTGAATAATCACCAACTCATCAGAAACAGTGGAGGTCAGAAGACAGTGTACTTAGGAAATAGAAGTATTAAGGGATAAAAAAGATTTATGTGTGCAAAGTACTGTCAAATAATTCACAAAAAGAAATAATAAAGCAAAGGAAGTAAATATTAACTAGGGGACTATGAAAAAGAATATATGTAAGTACACTTAACTATTCTAGTGACTTTTCTGTAAACCTAAAATGATCAAAATAGTTACATAACCAGATGAATCATGAAATATAGATGCATGTGTTATTATACATGATAAAAATTATAATTTCCTGATTTTGTCAATTGACAGAATTTAGCAGTAACACCCAGAAACAATGAATACACCTGGTACCAGATCTTTCAAAATATTCTCTAAAAATAAAGTGTCAGGGCTCCTTGAAGGAATAGTTGAGCTGAGGGGGTTATTGGGGCAGGGAAGGTACAGGCCTTGCTGGGAATGTCTTAAGTTGCCAGAAAAGGAAGCGCTCAAAAAATGACATGGGCATGTAGAAAGGATATAGCAGCCAATTTGAAGGAGCTTTCAATCACCAAACTGGAACAAACTGAGCAACAAAATGATTGTTACAAATTATAGCCCATAGACTTAAATATCTTTGTGTCTTTACTGATATAGTTGAATAAATAAGGAAGGTACAGTTCTTCCTTACAGCAAACGTCGTTTATGAATGTAAAAGGAAAGAAGACAATAGAAAATTGATATCCAGTAAACATCCAATAATTGTTGTAGGTAAAATGTTTAGCCAATAGATGCTAAAATTAATTTTTTTAAATCAGTTTCAAAGTATCCCCTCCCAGAAGATATTTCATACATTAAATTAGAAAATGGGGAGAAACCTGGCAGGCACCACTTTAATTAAGTGCCTGTAAGGTTAAAATCACTGGTAATATAAAGATCTTATACCTCATATGATACACTGTTAAGGGCACATCAACTCCATGGTATTCTTAACAATACATACTATATTATCAGAGTGTAAAACAAATATGAAATGGAAGGAAATGAAAAACTGTGAAGTTGAATTAGAAATTCAAAGTATCAATATGATCTCAATTTCTAAAACATGTATTTACACAAAATATAAAAGATAGATGTGTGTTTATGTATGTTTTTTTTTTCTTGTTTTGCCAGCTAAAAGGGCCTAGGGTCAGTGCTACACCGGGAGCAATAAGCATTCATAGTTGCTAGATCTAAGTTTCTAAGTACCATTCCCCCTAAAGGAGCCATGCTCCTTGGAGAAATGGCTGATTCCAGGGCTCAAGAAGGGAAGGTACAGAATTAGTCTAGAACATCTTGTTTTACTAGAAAGTGAGGAAGTGCTCAAAAAATGTTGGTGCATATCAAAATGACACAGGAACCAGATTTGATGGGGCTCCCCACAGCCAAATCTCAGGCAATTTTAACATCAGTATAAATATGTCCAGTAACATTATAATCCACTGAATAAAATAGAAACCAAAAAGACTTACTTAAAATACAGCCACGTGGATGGTATATGATAAGTAGATAGATATAGACAGAGTATGGCATATGGAGCAGAACGGAAAAATTACTATTTTGCAGCCATCATAGTAAAAACTGGTTCAGACAATTATCAAGTGTTGCTAAATCAGGATAGGGAATGTTGGACAAGCCGCAAAATACTTACATCAAAACACCTACATAATCTTAAAAGTATCTCCTCACAGATTGCTTATTATTTTCAAGGAGGGAAAGAGTCAGTGAAGACACAGAACGAACTTTAACCAGGTGATCAGCATTAACATTGACAATGAGTTCGTTCCATAGATGTGATACCCTAACAAGGACACATCACTTTTCTAGTCTTTTGGCTTGAGATAAATAACCTCAATCTATTAATTAGAAAACAACACATAAACCCAAACTGAAAAACATTCTAACACACACACACTCCAACTCACTGCTGACTTTTTTTGTTATAATTGATCTCATGATAAACATTATCTGAAGGTAGAGATTATGTCTTTGTTCTCCATCTATCATATCACCTGATAATTAGAAAGAGCTGAATAAATGCTAAATTGAATGGATACTTCCTGCCTAGACTGTAGATGCTAAGTCCCAGACAGTGTCTTGTATTCATCCATGTTTCCAGCCCCAAGCACAGTGAAGACAAAGTATAGTGGTTAAAAGAATAATAAATTTTAAAACAAGATAAACAGACTTTGTTTATGAGTTATATTCTACACTCGTCTCAGCCAAATTTTCAAAAGTAAACTTTTTACCACAAAAGAAAAACCACAAAAATTAGTTGAAGTGACAAGATTTATGGAGACACTGCAACTAGAACCCAACTTTATTGTTACAACCAATTTTTATTTACAGAATATAAATCTCTTCAAAAAGATACATTCCTTCATTTAATCAATGGTATGAGGCCTTATTAAACAGAAATAAAGCCTAAATGTCACATATTTAAACAGAAATGCAAACAGCTTCAGTAAAAGTTTATGAACATAGAGCAAAAACATATTTTTACTTAAGCAGTTACATGAATGAGGCTGTTTTTAATTTTCTTCACTGGCAACCCCATTTTATCCACAGAACAACTTTTACTTAAATTAACAGTAGTAAAAATGTAAAAATTAAATTTTAAACATGAAAATATGCAACAAAAACAGGAAGTATCTTCATTACCAAAGAGATTAACAAGTTCTCAGATTCTCAGATACTTTCTGAGGCATATCAAAACACCTCCATCAAAAGTTGCATTCATTTGAGAGGTATCAATACATTTTCAGTGCTGAGACTATTTGTAGCACTTACAGTATATACAAAGCAGCATTATACTACTATGGTTCACATTTGATAATCACAAGCTTAAGCTTTATGCCAATTTCCAATTCAACATACAACTAAGGCAATGACAATTATTTTGTTTTTTATGCTTCTGAATCTGAATAAGAAATGTATCATTTAAGAACATGGAATAGTGCCATGTTTTCTTTGTTATAATAGTATATTTTAAAATTCAAATATTTCATATCATGGAAACTCTACCCAGCTGTACAAAGTCTCCTAAATATAGTACAGTTTAAAAGTTTCCTCTTAGCAAATTCCACCAATGTATAGTTACTTTAGTAAAAATGACAGGAAACTTCTTCAGATCATTGGAAAATAAAAATTTCAGTGTGTCACTACCAAAATTGAGTAGCAGCACACCACAACCATGACAAGCAAATTCTCTCCTCCACTGCTTCTTGGGGGTCTTTTCCAAGCCACAGGAGCTAGTTTACATAGATACCGTCAGGTCTCAACCTAGCTTTGAAAGTTTCTTTGTTAGAGTTTTAAGATTTAACTAATGTAACAATTTATATCAGCTGGGTTTTTCTTATTCATCACTAACTAGTTTAAATACAGTATGTAATCTTTTCAATTTTTATAAGTCTCTTGTGTTTTGTTAAAATGATTAATGGATATTTATACCATTAATGGATAAGATGTAAACAAAAATATGCCTACATTGGGTATTTTACACAATTTTTTTCATAACCAGAAAAGCCATAGGATTCATAATTAACACATTTTATTTTAACCTGCTGTTTGATAACATCAGTGGCATAGTAAGTGCATAGCAAAGAAGAGAAAGCAGACTTCAGGACAGCAAACTACTAAAAACTTTAATTTTGGATGCCCAGCACAAATGGGTATTCTCTATTAGCACTACCATTATTTTTCCCATTGAAATAGTTGAAAATCTCCTATTTTAAATTATGATACAGAAATAAAATTTTTAACATAAAAGCCATGTCCAGAAAAATTTAATTCATTATGTAGTATATCTTGTTAATTTCAGTTTTTTTCCCCGAGATTTCAAGTAATAGAACCCCAAGCATTTTCTTTTATAGTAACACATTTTAGAAACTAAAGCTTCAAAGAAGGTGGAAAATTCATTTAAAATAATTGATATGCTTTTCTGTCTAAACACATCAAACCCAAAATATAACACTATAATCACACAGGTGGCAGGTAGGAAGAAAAAAAAGACAGTTCAATATAACTCATTTCTTTTAAAAAAGAAGCAAAAACAAAACAATGCCTTATGTAACTAAGTTTCCAGTCAAAGGACAGTCTAAAATCTAATGAACTGAAGAAAAATCAGAGCAAATTAATTTTGAAATAAAGATAAAGCTGCTTTACCACATACTTGTAGTTCCATTTCCCTCTGTGCATAACAATTACTAGCATTTGCCTATTGTGTAAAGTAGTGCAAGTTGCTGCCAATAACAAAACTCTCCTGCTAGCACAAAGCACTGTTAACTTTATCTATCAGCTGAAGTCTGTATCACTTTGGAATGCAGTATAAAATGCTTATTAAAGGCAATTTAAAGCAGAAAAATCAAACTGATAGTATTCTCATATATATATTACAAAGGAATTAAAAATGGCACAGGCTTTGTGTAATGTAAAAAAAAAAATACCTATATAATTATTAAAGTGGAGGTTTTTAATTTGTAACGAAGTATCTGAGAGGACTTTTTTCTTTAACTCTGAAAGCTTTAGTAACATATTTGTGAAGTTAAAATAAATATTTTTAGTACAGCAAAAATGGAAATAGCAGTCATTAAAAGATTACTTATATCTTTTTGTTGTTTGCAATCCCATAATGAACAACTTTATATTCAGAGAAGTCAACTGAGATATGCTTCGGTTAAACTAAGAGCTATTATTTATCATATCTCTTGTATATATGGGATTGAGATTCATTCACATTGAGATATCAAAACTTTCATGTTTTTTGTAGGAAAAGGTTAACAACCTGGAAAATAGGAAAGAATAATACTTCCGTTTGCACTCATTAAATTGTATTTTTAATTTTCTTGAGCTTAGAATCATGGAATGGAACTCTTAACAGTGTGTACTAACTGACCACTTGCAGGAATCTAACCTCACGAAAACGAATGAACAACTCAAGAATGAAGAAGTCATATTAGGCACTGAGAGGCTAAATAAATAAGTACTGATTAACAAAAACTGATGAACCCTATTTCCAGTTCCTCTTGTTATCCTACTTGTGCAGCCAGAACTGCTGGCTATTTCCAGTCTAAAACCAAGGAACTGGATCAGTTCCTCACAGAACATTTTCTACAAAAGGGAAGAGAATCCAAAACAATACACAATCTCATATGCAAGATACAATTCACACTAATTTACAAATTTTTATTTACACTGTTTTATATACATTCCAGGCAGACCTATAGTTGATGAGTTTTGTGCTCATTTTGATCTCAAATGATCATGTGAACAGTATGATTTACTACCACATCTCTTTGATTTCCAGAAAATAGTGGTAGCATGGGGGTAGGGAGGTAATCGCATATTACTGGTCAGGTTAGATCTAACAAGTATGTAAAGAACAAAGATGAAAAAACTGTGGAATTTTGCTTGTTAAAGCATCCAGGCCACTATGGTCTATTGACTAACAATGAGTACACATGAATGCCACCTTTCTAACAACCATTTTCATATTTACAAAATGAGCTTACAAGTTGAATTATTAGGTAAGGCATTCAAGTTCCTTAGCTTAACGTAAAAAGGCAACAGACATCTCAAGAAGCCACAGGATAAATTTTAGGAGAGTTCTTCTTTTAGAATCTCTTAAATGGTCAACAAAAAGAGAAACGATTTTGAACCCTATTAATACCCTGCAGCATGATCCAAAAAAAAAAAAAAAAAAAACACCAAACAAACAAAAAACCTGTACAGAAGTGAGAGCATCACAACATCCAAAATCTAACCAGAGTGGAGGAATATCTTAAATATCTGATTAAGTTCCAAGATCCAGTGGATGCTCCTAGGGATAAAGTGAGAGCCTTTTATTCCCCTTTACATTCACTTCTATATGAATCTTTCTGAAATGCTTACAATAGTGTCACAGCTAGTATGCACAGTCTACCAGCAATGGCTCAGTGAATCTCTATTCAAAATGGTTTGAAGAATACGGAGTAAGATAGAAAAATGATCTTCTCTACTCCCACTGTAGATATATACTGTTGCAGTTTAAGAAGTCGGAAAGCAAAAAACTCAAGAGTATTACATATTCTTCATCGTTGAAAATATTCCAACCACAGATGAAAATTCCACCAAAACAATTTTTCAAGTATACTCTAACATTATATAAAAAGGTATTGTTTAATTGGTTCCATTCATTTAGTCAATTTGGTAAAATTCTACAACAATGTGGTTTATAATAACAGAAGTGAACATCTTTAACATGGGGAGGTAGAAAACAAACCTTGGTCTAACACTGTTATAGATACAAACAGATTTTAAGATTCTATTATGTAACTAGAATGTACCATTTTAAATGGCCTTTAAGTTTTTCTACTTTATTATTTTTAAACATCTTGAGATAATCCAAGTATTTTAAAGCACTTATCTGAGAATATAAGTCATTTGGAATAATACATCAGACTCCCCAGAAGATTTCTCAGAGGATAAATGTGTATTTGCATATTCTGAATATGCAGATTCATTAAACCAACTTTGTACATGGGCACTTATGTGACCAAGTGAAAAGCCTGTCAGACTAATTTACTAAGTAAAGACAACCATGAACTAAACTCCACACAGAAGTCTTCAAAATTTGAAGCCTACTTATCCCAAAGCTCTAACTTCATCCATATAATTACCATCCTCTCAGGCAAAAACAAAATAAAAAAATACACAAACAAAATCAAGACAAATCAAAACTAACAGAATCCTTCCTACCAGGAGTGTTTCTGCATAATTCACATTTTGTTATATCAGATTTTAAGTGTACAAGATCAATGCCTTAAATGTTCCTTATTTAATTATTTTAACCACCTCGACTTACTTCTCTGAACCTACAGGAATCATTTATTATCATTCCAAAGACATGAAGCCAAACTAAAACATGAAACTAAAATGTAAAAAATGAATCTACAGGGGTAAAACAGAATCAACCTAAATAACATTTTCTTGTTCCCAAGTATGATAAACATTCTATCTTTGTATCCAAAATTAGCAATTAGTCTACTAGCTATTATTTAATAATAAATGCACAGAACATCTCAATAAGAAAATAAAACGTTTGTTTAGAAGTAATTTGATATACTAAAATGTTAAAAACAAACTAGTAACTTAAATGACCATATTTAGTATATGAGGACATTACTGAATGCAGATTTTGGTAACAAAATCATCCTATCTATTCTAGGATTATACAGTAAATATTAATATTTATACTGCCAGACTATGTATGGAAAGGAGAATTAAATTCTAAGGTATATTCCCCCAAAAGAAACAGTTTTCAATATTCAATTCAAAACAATGTGCCACTACCATAGATAGTGTATGTATTTCACCCTCCTAAATAAGTATTTTTCAATGAACATCCTAAGTTGTCTATACCAGTGTCTGGCATTTCAAGAGTAAATGATCCATTTTGCTTATATAGTGTATCAAGATAAAAAAAGTTACAATGAACACCTAGAACGTTTAACAAAAATTAACCTTATTAAGTAAAAAAAAAACTTTCCTCTGGAACATTTTCATTGCTTACACTTAACAGATGAAATAGATGAAAGCAATCACGGAATCATGTTACATTTATAATAAATAATTCACATATAACAGATTAAATTATCAAAGAAAAGATTAAACTGACATCATCTTTATACCTTTTTGCAGATTTAACAATTTTCTAATCTACTGCATACTAATAGCAGTAGGTATATTTTTTGACATCATTCAGTCTATTTAAAAAACAAACTGGTTGGTAGAGGCATAATTTGTAAAGCAAGATAACCAAATTAAATAACAGAATTTTAACAAATAATTAGCTTTTCAGAATTTCTTAAGAAAAAGATTCACAAGCATTGTTCAGCTCCTTCAGAATAATTACATCTTTACTCAGGCATTTTTAATGCAGTAACCTCAGGCTTCATTTTAAAGTATTGGTTAAAACGAACAACTGCATACCTAGTGAGAAAGAAGAGTAACAAAATTAGTCAACGCTGAAAACTTAATCCTCCTTTTATTACCACTCACCCCTCTAACCTAATTTTTCTTAAGTTTTAAGATTTCTCAAAGAACATATTTTTAGTTTATTGCACCACCTACTGGTCATCTTTCTAATGTTAAGTGCATTAAACAGATCAGATTTCCTCTGACCAATTATCAAATGTATGTAACTTTTAAAACATTTGACGGAAAATAATAACTACAAAGTCCCCTATGAGTTCTAAATGTTAATTCAAAAGGAAGTAGAGACAAATATAACGCATACAGTAAAATTAAACTTACCCAAGGAAATCAAAGTCAATAGTGGAGTATTTGGCTTGAATCAAAGCCCACAATCCCCAAAAGAAATGAGAAGCCTAAGAAGAAAGGCAGAAAAATAAAGAATTATGATAATTCATTTCTTTGTTAATTTTTTCCTTTTTCATCAATTCTAGAAACAATACTTTCTTGATGTTTTTTATATTTTATATAAAAAACAAGGTAATATTTAAGTGTAGTTATCTAGGTGGCTATAAATCACTTCTATGTCAAAAGAGGCAATAATAAACTACTGTCATTTAAAAACTAGAACCCAATTTCTGTAACCTGCTTTGTTTAGGCAGAGTTCAGCATCAGCACTGATAGGAGTTGATTAAGCGATGGTGTTTTTTCAATCCTGGCTCTTTTTTTTTCCCTTCTCTTTTCCCTACCCTCTTACATGTTAGTGTTCCCTGGTGTTCTGATTTTGGGCTGCTCTCCCCTCTTTTCACTTATATTGTTATTGGGTGATCTGGTACCATGACTTTTATTTCTCTTTTTGTTAATGATCCTAAGTTGAGTTTTATTCCCTCTGTCCAGATCAGTACCGACTGTCTCTATCCAGGTCCCATGTATTTGACCACAGCATGATTATGCTTGAAGGTTATTTCATGCCTTCTGTCCTCTATCCCATTTTTCTTTCTTCTATTATCTTGATTTAATTAAAATACCATCCATTCAGTTGCTGTTTGAAACCAGGAAAAAGGGGAGTTTCTTTAATGTGCTCCTCTTCTTCATTCTCACATTTTTTCTATTTCCAAATTGTTATTCTTCGCTCCTAATATTCTCTCAATTTCAATCCTTTTCCCTTAGTTTTATGGCTTTTGATTAAGGCCTTAATTAGCCTTGTAACTTCTGTTTGCATCCAGGATTTTTCCCTCTGTAATTCATCCTGTACATTTAAAAAGTGATCTTTTTAATAACTAGCATCTAATGAATGAATCTGATGTCTTACTTTCATACATTATGGCTCCTCGTGACCTACAGAGTAGAATCCAAATAGCATCTACAAACTTTGTCATTTTAAGCTGGATTTCCCACATCCCACCGCTGCTCTAGCAGGGTCATCTTTTCTGCACACTCCATGATATTAAGTGAAAGGAGGGGAGAGCAGCCCAAAATCAGAACACCAGGGAACACTAATATGTAAGAGGGTAGGAAAAAGAAGAGGGAAAAAAAAAAAAAAAAACAGGGAAGGCAAGCACAAAAAAGGGAAACCAAGAAAAAATAGTATCATAAAATTTAATGAAAGACAAAATTCTAAATATCAATGGTAAATATGAAGAGATCAGGTAAGATAAAGACTAAAAAGTTTAACCTGGACTTATCAATTATGTCGTTATTGGTAACACTGGCCTCAATTACTTTTTTTATAATAGTAGGGGAGAAGACAGGTTACAGTAGTCTGAGAAGTACATGAAAGATGATAAAGTAGAAAAATTAGGGTTTGCTTTTATATTTTATCCATTCAAACACGTGAGATTATGACAGGCATTCACTTAATGTATGATGGGATGAAATTACAAGTTGGTAAGAGAGTTAAACTGGTTAGCTTAAAAAAAAAAGCCTTGGAAAAGAAAGATGCCTCAAAAGGAAAAAGGGGCTGGGTGAAGCCAAGCTTGAATGTTCTGCTGTATTATTTCCATTCAGAAGATAGTAAGAGTAGGTAACCCACCTGAGAAAAAAAAGGTCAAAAAGAGAAAAGCATTTGACAGGATCAGTATAATATAGATAAAATGAGATGAAATCAAACCCAACTAGCTTAATAAATGGTTTTCAGTGGTCTCCTAATGACAAAGAAAAGAGCATAATAGACTTCTGTAAAGCTTATGTGAAAACTAAGAATATGTAAATTATGAGGACATACTAAATTAAAAAAATGTTATTTAAAAGTTATTGAAGTTTTATATATCTACCAATGTTCTTTTTTTTAATCCTCACCTGAGGACATTTTTACATTTATCTTCAGATAGAGCACAAAGGAATGAAGAAGGAAGAGAGAGAGAAGCATCGAGTGGTTGCCACCCACACAACCCCAACCGGGTCCAGGGACAAACCACAACAAAGGTATGTGCCCTTAGTGGGAATCAAACCCGGGACTCTCTGGTCCACAGGCCAACACTCTAACTGCTGAGCCAAACCAGCCAGGGCTCTACAAATGTTCTTTGTCCTTCTTCTATAAGACCTACTGAACATACATTGCATAAATATGTTTGCTATACATTTCATAAATATATTCCCTTTATGAATCAGGTTAAGTTTTCCTCCAATTCTAATTTGCTGAGAATTTTAAATATAGACGTGTATCATCCAAAAAGAGGCATTTTGTACAATTTATCTGCCCTTCTAAATGATAAGCACTGTAAAGGAATGCATTACATTTTATTCCTTTTTTAAGCCTCCAACCCATCAGAACTATAATAACAATAAGTACTAGAAATCTGATTAATGAAAATTTATAAGCAACTTGGTAATCAAACCAGAAGTAACTGTGTTTTTCAATACCATGCGTATATATATTAAACCAAAGTATCTAACGGTGTTAAATAACACCAAAAGTTTTCAAGAGAACAAAGTTAGGACTCTAACAGTAAACAGTGGCACTGTTGACTAAGAATTCAAAAGCTATGTAAACTTTATGTGGAAATTAATGAACTCAATATTTAAGGAACAATTTAATTCCTTTAAATGGGTACATGGAAAAAATACAGATTTTAGCAATAATAATACTCCTCATGTTAACACAGAGATTGGCTAAATAAAAGTACTAGGTTGATTCTCAAGTTCATAAATGACCTCGTGAGAAAAAACACTATTATTTTCTACTTTAAAAGCATGCTTAAATAGAATAAGTAAAAACAGCAGGCATCCTAGGACCAGCTAGAGAGCATGACACTAATTTAACTAACAGTTCTACTGAAAAAAGATATCAGAACAGCAGGTAAAGTCCCATTTCGGTGTACATTCTTACGTGAGATGTATTCTGAATGGCTTTGAGGAAATGCTGCTCTTATAATTGGAAACAATACACGAATGAGAAACCAAAGGCATCTATTTGTAGAGAATACATAGCAAAAATTCCCCATACCAACTGTACAGGATTATATTAAAACTAAAAAAGAAGTAGCTAAGATAACTTCGACCTCCTATTAAATTAAATGTGTAACACCCTAGCTGAAAGCTCATTCTTATGTATCACATAATTCTAAAGATAATTTAAATCAACTAGTTTAGGAAGTGGGTCTTTAAAGTAATAAGGCATTAACACATCAAAGAAACCAGAAATATCTGCTTATCAAAAAGTCAAGATAAAATACTGGTAAGTTCAAAAATGTAATTCTACTGGTTCTTCCAACATACTTTTATCTTGTTAACATTAAGGTGTAATGATTGATGTATTGTGGAAAACCTCATTTTCCATAAATCTGTCCTTGATTATGCTTTTCTTAACAAAAAGAAATAACAGAAATTGCTTCACAATTAATCCTAACTCTAACTGAAATCCATTCATTAAATAAATAATTGCTGAGCACTTATCAAGTAGCCAGGCACTATTGTTCTAGGGTTTGGAAATATAGTTGTGAATGAAACAAAATCTTTATCCTCAAAAGTATTACAATGGAAGAATTGTAAACAATCATATTTTGTCATTTTTTTGAACAAAGATTCACAAAATTCAAAATGAGAAATTGTTTTATAAGACGAAAATTTAAAATTTTTAAAGCATATGAAGAATCTTTTGTTGTTTACATTTAAACTTACCAATGCAAACTGATTGACTTGAATGAAGAGTATTTCTACCTCCTTTTCAGTAACTTCAGTCCCAAAGCCTTTATATTCTTTGTAGGCTTCAAGGTAAGAACGCAGCCACTGGCCCTGTAGTTCTCTACCTGGATAGAGACTATAATCTACCTCACTCACACCTAAAGTGAGAAAAAAAGTGCAATAAGAAAAATTAAAAACATATTCTCTTATATATACTTTCATAATTCTTACTATCTACATAATTTTCATAAAAAACATTTGACTGAACTAGACTTAATTAGCATCTATTAAAATAATAAAGCAATCATAATGTATTATGACTTAAGTTAGGATGCACAACACAGCTAACCACCATAATCAATTGTTATTGTTTCAATTTTTCCTCAAAGTGTGAAGCTTGAATTACCTGCATTTGAAGTACCAAATCCTCTTTTTAATAAGCAGAAGATTCTTGTGCATACTGATATTTAGAGCATTTCTTAGAACTATGGCTCTAAAACTTTCTTGACCATTACTCACAGGGTAAGAAAAATATTTTATATTGACACCTTATACACACACCTGATATTAAGTTTCACAAATAATATTTACCCTAACTATACCTTCTAACTCGAATGTTTTCCGATCCTTGCTTTAAAATAATTACCCCACAAATTAGATTTCATTATCTGCAGTTTGCAAAAACTAATCTAGAAAACAAAGTTAATGCTATTTTGCCTAGCATTAAAGGTTCTTCTTAAGTTGGTCCAAATGTACTTTTCTGCTCTGATAAACTACTCCTTCATGAATTTTATAGTCTACAAAAATAAATACCTTCATCTTGAAGTTTTCTTCCTCCTTCCTGCAGTAGTCTCCTTTCTCTTCTATCTGCACATGCAAATGCTATCTAACTCTCAAGTGTCAGTTTTTTGCTATGCTAACTTTTAAGTGTTAGCTTAATTTTTTTATGCACAAAATCATATTAAGATCTGTCAACTTTCCTCTTTCATATCCACAGCAGTAACTATCTTTAATACTAACAAGGTGATATTTCATTATATAAACAGCTGCTTTCCCTTACTACAGAGATGTGGAAATATGTACAGTACATATGCAGATATGGCGTATATGATAAGTTTGGTGTAGGGAAATTACTGAATACATGTAAATTGAAACTTCTCCAACTTTTTTCCCAGCCTGGTAACCTAAAGTATATTAAAATACCTGAATGCATGAATGTATACAAACACAATTCAGCAATGAAAAATTCCAACTAGTTGTAAACTATCCAAAGGAATTTCCTATTCTTTAGTTTTAGAGCACTTCAGGTTTCTAACTATAGTCATAAAATGTATTTTGAATTAATTCCACTTACATTTAAAAAATTAAAACTTTTATACTTAATGGTACTAATAAGTTTTCAGAAGGAAAAAGGACCAGCTTTTCAATATTCATAGTCAAAGACCAAAATAAAATTCTCAAGCTTTTTCATTAACCAACATTCCCAAAGCCCAAGTACACCATGGAAACAGTAAAGGCTTTTAAATGATTTTAAAAGTTGGTTTCAGCCTGGCCAGTGTAGCTCACTTGGTTCCGTGTCATCCCATGCACCAAGGTTACCCGTTCAACTCCTGGTCAGGACATATGCCTGGGTTGCGGGCTCAATCCTCAGTAGGGGGTATGCAGAAGGCAGCCAATCGATGATTTTCTCATCGATGTTTCATTTCTCTCTCTCTCTCTCTACCCTCTCCCCCCCCCCCCCAAAAAGAAAGGTTTCAAATCATAGTTCTCTGTATTTTACTGTGACCTTGGTGAATTACTTCCCTCATCTGTATACTAGGAATATTACCTAACTTACAAAACTGATGTTGAGAAAAAACTAAGGTGAGATGAGATTTGTAAGCACCTTGCATTGTGTCAGGTCTTAATTATATTAATCACAATAATTATTTCTTACTTCCCTTAAGACATTAATGAAGAAGTCTCCTCTGTCCTCCAGTAATAAACAAAAAGAACAAAGGTCAGAAAAAAGTTAAAAGAATAGTGCTCCTCTTCCCAGTTATTTATTTTAAAGAAAAAAAATAACAATTCTAAAAGTGTCATATCAAAGTTATATATGCTATTTCATTAGTTAAGTCCTGAATCTTACCTGCAAATTCGTTGAAATGATTTCCAATATCATATGCCAGGTAGTTGTATCCAGAATATTCATAATCAATGAACTGTACATCACCTATGTGAGACACAAAAACAAAGACATAAGAAATCATATAAAAGATGAGAAAATCCCTAAGCTATTTGTATTTAAATAGCTTCCAATATTTTGTCTCATTGTACGTGCTTGATTACATGCACTTCTGAGACAATACAGGGTAAGGCTGTGAATTCTATGGCAATGAGCTTTACAAAATTCAAATTATATATCTTTGTCAACAGCTTCTTTATGAATATCATGTCCACTATACTATAATCAAGTCATATGGTTTAGTCATTCTCCGACTTCCAACAAAAGTAAAATGTCTTTCACCACATGAGGGCATCAGTAACTTAAAATTCAAGTTTAACAAGAAATGAACATTTTTGGAAATTGTTAATAAACTAAGCTATGTAACAAAAAATTAATCTATGATACTCCAAGTGAACTGACATGCTAATCTACATAAAAGAATCAAATATAAACTTTGTAAAACCTTAATTCTGTGAATCCTGCAGTTATGCTATTAACACTTACTGATCTACTTAACAACATTCCTAATTAAAGAATTTGGTTGCAATCAAACTCTTACATTTTCCTTGAATGTCGCATAACTAAGGTTTCCAATTGCATACCAGAGCCAACATTAAAGTGGTTGTTTTATCTTTTTTTTATAAACCAAAGGTACACTGAGTACTACAGAGGATTTTGGCTTAATAAAGATATATGTTCTCTTTTTTTTCAAGAGAGATGAGAAAAAGTTGAGCGAGAGGAGAAAGAGAAAACCTATACCAGGGATCACAAACTCAAAGGCTTACAAGGGCCAACAGTTAAAACGGATACATAAATGGAGATTAAGAATAGTCTAAGCTGCAATTGTGAAAATAAATAGTATATGCCTAATTACCTTGTCTTTTAAAGATAGATCATCTAAGGTAACAAAACAAACTCCTGGTCTTACACACACTGGCATTTTCCAAAAAAATAAAAAAAAAAATCTTTTGAACTATGTCATGATATAGATAGATATGTATGTTTAATTTGGAGATGTATGTTGATCATATTCAAACTCAGAAAAACAGATTTTATGACAAAACATGTCACAGCAAAAAATTTTACATAAAAGCAAATTTTTAATGTAAGTGCATTTAATATATAATTCTAAACCTATATAAATAATAGTCAAGTCTAGAGTAAAGTGAGAATCATCAAAGTGTCAAAGCCCAGTTATCAAAATCTATATGCATATTGACAAAGTAAATACAAGATTTTAAAATGTTGCTAACTACAATAAATCACTACAATTCAACAACCGCAAGTATTATATTCTTGAACTTACAAAAGAATCATCCCATGGAAAGTCTTAAAGTTAACCAAATCACTTTACTAAAGTGCAGAATGGGAAGAGAGAATGTGTGTCAACCAATCACTTTACTAAATTGCAGAATAGGAAGTCAGAACGTTTTTCTAGTTACCATTGAGAATGAGAGGGTAAAGACCACCATCATGATAAAACACTGCAGTCATAAAAAAAATTAATTTTCATTTTCAAAGATGATTTAATGACCAAAAAAATTACAAATGTTATATGAAAAAAGATATAAAAATAGTAAATGTAGTAAACCAAAATTATTAAAATATTATGCCTAACAAGAGAAAAAAAGAAATAACACAAAGGAGAAAAAAGATGAATGGAAATAAGCCAAAATAAAGTATTTCAACTGCTTTCATTATCAGAGAGAGACAAGTGACCCTTTTCCCTTTATATTTTAAATTTACAATAAGCATTACTATTAGAGAAAAAAGATATCATTTAAAAAGATTAAGATGAATTCTCTAAACAAAACTATAAATAGGTAAAAGACTAAACACAATGATTTGGGAGAAGCCTATCCACTTGATCTTCAAGAAATCAGGATTCAGATTTACCAAGTTGCACAACGGAACTAACCAGTTTTAATATAAAAATGTTGTAATTGCAGCTGTTGATTGTTTTTGCTCTTTAAACAAATTCTTGTAAAGCTCATATTAACTGTTACATGCCAATAAAAATACACAGCCCAGTCCTGAAGCTTACTTTTGCCACATAAACAAGAGTTTCTATTGTAATTTCAAAATTATATTTAGAATTTGGCAAATATAGTTAAAATGGCAGGTAAAACATGCCTGCTTGTAAATATAATTTAAATAAAGCACAGATCATTCATTTTAATAAAAGTTAAAATCTGTTTCAGTATGAATGTTTTAGCAATGACTCTTTGTAGTATCTATTAATTCATTAAAACTAGCCTTTATTTTTATATGCTATGTCGAGTTTATAAATAATGAAATTTTAAAAAATAAGAAAATGAAGCTAAGAAGATACAGATGAGGCTGTTACCAGGCTCCGTGCATGTGAACAAGTGATGCGATAAACCTCCAGTCAGTGCGTTTAAGAAGCACGGGGTGCGCCGCCACATGGCAGCAACAATGGCATACCTAATCTGTAGCAGATGAAGAAAATTTGGCAAACTCACATTTTACAAGACACAAAGCTTAAAAGGAAAAAAAAAATTTTTAATCCGCATTAACTATTCTTTTTCAAACTATTGCAAACAAAGTGGAACTCAACCTTAAATTTAATCTTCTGCAACAAAGTAAAATTAAAGACGCCTACTTCCCTTATTTTGGGTGCCAGAAAAATCAAATTACCACAAAATGCTTTCTACTAACAGAAAGTATACTTAACTTTTTTCTCCTACAAACTGAACTTCTGACTTCTAAAATTTCCAATTATTTAGGGGAACGTCGACATCACAATTAATAATTCATAGTTTATATGGCATGATTATCTTGCTAATCCTTTAAAACATAAATTTTTAATAAGATTTCAAGGATGGAAAAAAAATGAGAATACTCCTTAAAATTTTATACAAAATTTTACAGTCTGTGCATTTTCTGAGGAGATTCTCAATTCTCCAAATTCTCAAGGGATCCTTGACCTCTAAATAAAGTAGTGCTTTAAAGGCTAAGACTACATATTATCTTTATTAATTAGCACAGTGACTAGCACATTATAGGTAAAGCAAAAGATTATTGAATAAAATATATTCTGAATTTCCAAAGCTACATTTTTCTTTTTATCACTATATTTTTTGCACATCTTCACAGTAGTAAAATCTACACACTAAGTTAAATTGTTTAAATCTCAGTACAACTGAAAATAGCTCATCTTTAAAGTACTTTAAAACCAAAAAATATATATATTAACTAAGAATATAATTCACATGAATTCCTTTATTTTGCTGTTGTTAAGAAGAAAGAAATAAAGATAAAAAGTAAAATAACCAATATAAGTACTTGAAAATTTTTCCAACTTACTCTCTAGTTTTAGGTAAGGCAGAAAGAGAACATAAAGTCTAACTATGATAATACTAATGTTAGCAAAATGCTTTCTCTCTTACACAGAGAAAAGGAATATTCTGCTCTGGGAAACCATCCCTTCTTTCCTCACTCTGGTGTCCAGCAGTAGCTTCACCACAGCACTCATCATTCTGAACGTAAATATCTGTTTCATGATCTGACTCCTCCTACATGGCATATGGCCTCCTGGAAGGGCAGTAGGTCCCTTTCATCTTTCATCATACAATCCACAGAGCAATACCTAGCACACAGTAAGTTTTAAAATGCTACTAGAACAAATAAAGGCTTTTAAGAGAATGCTGAGACACAATGATAACAGAACATGTTTAAATGGGTTGTGGGGGGAATAAGCATGAAATAACAAAGAACAAAGGGTGGCACTTTTTACATTCATATTCAAATATATGATTGAACATACAGTGGGACTAAATGTATGTATAGAAAAAACATTAAACTACTAATAACTATTTTAGGTAACTCTTTTACAGTCCAGTTAAGTTTTTTATTACCTGATTTAGGGATATTTTATTTTACGCCAACTATGATCTGAAATACAAGTTAAAACAAGGTTTAACTATTCTTCATAAAAATTCCACCCTGGAAAATATAGGTTACCAAATACAAAAATAAATCTGTATTTACTTAAATTTTAAAATAAAACCAACTAAAAAAAACGCACAAAAAAACCCTTTTCTAAGTTTTTAAAATGTCAGTAAAACGACCACAACCACAACAATGCCTTTTCATAAATAATAACAGATAAGATTTAGAGCCAATCAAGTGATGAAGAATGGTGACTCACCCATTTTCTATTTATATTGTACAAAAATCTAAAGAAAAACCTGGTTTACACTATAATTCCCAGAAAAATATTTTATTCCCAGTCATTTGTATTTCCTTAAATTGTTGTAGCTCAGCTTCTTGCATTTTGGAGACACAGAAAATAATCAATGACTGCTATTACTGAAACTTAAAATTATATATTAGATCTTTATATGAGCTTTTATGAAGAAATGGGGAGAGGGAGAAAAATGAAACAGCCTCCAATTAACATTATGACAAAGCATCAAGACATGAGACAACATACTAAAAAACTTTAGCAATTACTTCTGGAATGTCAGCAGCTAGGATTAGTTGAAATTAAAATATTAAGACTTAAAATCATGTAATAAGCAGTATTACAATTCTACTTAGTATAAATTCTTTTTAAAATTAATTATTGATAAATTTAACAAATGACTAGTAAGCCTTATCTTCCAGTTCAGGAGCAAGAACCACTGTTTTTTGTTTTCTTATTATGTAACAAATCCTATCATCATATCATTAAGTATTCTTTTCTTACCTTTTTAAGATGTCATGTCACTGATGGAGGGAAATGGGCTGCTGTTTAAAAACCATCTAAATTCTGGGACTAACTTTTCAAAAATCTTGACAGCTACCATCAACTCCAGAAAGGAAGCTCACTCTTCTCCCACATTCCTGAGTCCTGTCAACTGACATGGTGAGAAGAGGTAGTGGCAGTGTTTTTTCCCTGTGATGCCTGTCAGTCCTATAATATTCACAGGTGAAAACACCTATAAACTGCAGGGTGCTCTAGTCTTCATGTGTGTCTATATGAAAATGTGCTTATATACACATACATATACACACACATATATAGATTTTTAAACTTTAATCACTCAAGGTACAATTAGGATGGAATCTGTAAGTTGCACTGAAAGACAAATTGAATTGTTTTCTCATACCTATAAGCCATAATTCCCCTAGTTATAGGACATAGTTAACCTTCTGGCTTACAGTAACCATTTTCCCTTTTTCAGAATCAGATACATTTTGTAAAATGCTTCCTAGAAACAAAATACAGGGGTTGACAAAGTATGCATGCTGATGTCAAATCCAGCCAGTCCATTGCCTGTTTTTGTAAATGAAGTTTTATTGGAACACAGCCACACATATTTATGTATTATCTATGGCTATGTTTATGCTACAACACAGAGTTGAACTGTTGTAATAGAGACTATAATATGGAATGAAAAGCCTAAAATAAGTACTATCAAGCCCCTTACAGAAAAAGTTTGCTGCCCCTTTCATGGTACAAATAGCTGTATCTGAGAGCTGCCAAGTACCTAGCCCAGTTATAAACTTGATAAGCATGATCAGGAACCATCTGAAGTAAATATTACCAAAGTTGTAAATAAAGCAAACTAAAGTTCTAGACTATTAACAATGTAAGTTCTGCCTGGAACTCTGTTAAGTAGGCAGATTCCTAAACCCATCTATAGAAATTATTTTTCATTTGGTCTTAGATCTTTTTCCAGTAATCTAGATGATTCTGGTGCAGAATTAAACATAAACACTTAATATAAAGATAAAATGACTTGTCTCATACCACTTACTTCCATATGTGATTGAGCAGAAATTTGAACCCAAGTGTGCTTGGTTCCAAAAATCGACACTCTTTCTGACTTCTCTTGGTTATAACTAAGCTTTAATATATCTGCTTTAAAGAGTTAATGTAAAGATTTTAAAAATTAAGTTACAATACATAAAATCTAAGTTTTTATAGTCAAAAAATACATGCAAAAACATCAAGATGATCTAGTATAAATGCATAAAGTTTAACTAAAATGTGCACTTCTGAGATATTAAGGATCTACAACATACAGAGAGATACTAAGCTTGATGATGTCAAGGCTTTCATCTTATTATTTGTATATATTTATATCTCACAGGTAGGTACGAAATGGTGAGGCCCTGGGCTCAAATTACATGAATAATTTAAAAAGTGATAAATCAACCTTGGTTTTGAATATAATACGCAGCTTAGTCATTTATTGTGTGTAGAAATTATTTTAATCCCAAAAGACTCAACACTGGGCTTTTAGATGTTGTACAAGGTTACTAGTTAAGGAATTAAAGAACTATGTGATACATGTTTCTCATTTAAATTATCCTCCTTCAGATTGCAGCTATAAGTAAAGTACTAATGCTAAGCCACGGTCTATTTTTTTGCTGTTAAATTTATAGAATTTTCATTTTTTTGAAGTCTGAGGCACGTTATCTTTGCCTCATAAAGACAAAGATGTCATAATTATATTGTTTCAAAACCATTAGCTCCTAATTTGAAACATAATTAAGTTAATAACAATAGAAAAAGCTACTAGCTTTGACCTGACCAAGATTCCAACCACATTTTCCTAATGCTTATCAAGTAAGCACATAAGAACTGATTGTTTTTTAAGTGGATGCCATGGAGTCCACATCAGCCTTTCTAGTAAATACTATAAAACTATTGGTAAGTAAAAATACAGAACATCTCCATAACTAACATACAAATATAACCACAAAGATAAGAAACAAATGGTTTATAACAGACATCTATGAAGAAGGGCAAACTCTAAAATATGTATCAAAATAATTATATTGGTAGTACTTTGAAATTTATTCTTCTGGGTAGGGGGAAAAACTAGACACAAAAGTATGAAGTAGGGTATTCTTTTGGTAATATAAACAAACGACAACCTTCAATTCCTAAAGCCAAACTGAAGCATAAAGATTTTATATAAAAATATGAGAACTTTTTATATCACTGAGCAATAGTTTAAATAGGCAACTAGAAAAATTAAAACATAAAAAGGTACTTTATAATACTTAAGACAAAGTAATCTGATTTTTTTGGTCCCTTCTATTTTAGTTTTGTAAACAAGTTTGTTCTATGAAATGAATATGCAAAAGAAACATAAAAGTATGAAAAGTTAAAATTATATTCCAAAGGAAATAGATCTCTTTGATTAACTTGCAGTTAAAAATAAAGCTGAGTGTCCACTTCAAAAGTAAGATGAAGTCCCTCACTTGAAATTCCATTATATAAAATAATGTGTTATTTAGTCTTGTACTGAACTTAAAAGCTAATACATTACTTTAATGCATAACTAATACTCTTGTCTCACAAACGGAATTGAGATTTGGTTACTAGTATCTAATGTAGTGCATATTTGTATTATGACAATTATATATAATAAATAAACAATAAAAAATTAAAGGACACTGTCAAGTACTAAGGTTTTAGGGTACTCCTAAAATTCTTAAAAAAATAATTCCACACAAAAACTTCCAGACATTGAAAATAAAGATGTTAGTTCAGTATATTTTTAAATAACAGAATCTCTAATCCACTTGAATATATCAAATATAAAAGTTACTCAAATACATTTCTGAAAATAGGTGCTTCAGGCTACCACCCTTGACAGTGTTCTTCACTTGGTTTTCTTCAAGTAAAAGCAAGTTACAAATATTAACCACCTTTAAATTAGAATAGTATCAATTTACAATCTATAAATAATGGTCACAAATAGTAATGTAATATAATTATGACCATTTAATCACAAATCTTTGGTTTTAGTATCTTCATAGCAGCACACATTTGAATCAAAATAATCTTCCAACTATAATGATAATCTTCAAAACTGATTTGCTATAAAATGCAATAACTTCATAGTTTCAGACTTTTTGATACTAATCCTTTAACCAAAATTGTATTTTTAAATTTCAATTTAGTACTATAGGACATCTATTGTTTAGCAACCAAACCTCAAACCATTTATTTTATCCAATAATACAACCAAATGTTTCTTTCTTAAATTTGAAAACACAGAGAATTTGAATACAGAAAGATATGAACAATCACAGAAAACATTTCAGCAAAAAGTATCACTGTCTAACTCAAAATATATTAAAACAATTTGCCAGATCTTCTTGATTATTACTTTAGTAGGTATAAATTTCGGCAACTACAAATAACATTTCCTCCACCTGTGGCTCTCCCCTTAGCATCAAACTACCTAAAAAAACAGCATAATAAATAGGTAACAAAAAACCTGGAAACATATTTGTTTCTAATACTATTGTCCTTCCTAACATTGAGAAAATTTCTATATTTATAAAGTAGTGCAATGTCAATTGATTTTTCAATAATGCCCATTACAAGCAGGTGTATTTTCAAACCATGAATTATCAAATAGGGTTTACAGTTAAATCTTATAAAGTCATTTTTATCATTTTTCATTTAAAACTTGCTTAAAAGAAATCAATGTTTCAATTAAACCAATTCTAAGAAACATCTTATACAAATATATAGAAAATATATATTCCTAATTTAGCACAGTTACCATGACTTTATAACCTAAAAGAAAATATTTAAAGACTTCACACATTTTCAATCCTTGCATTTGAATTAAATTTGAAACAAAGATCAAAACACCATTAAGAACATCAAAGAATTCATCTCTACTTACTGCTAAGGTCAAATACCTACCTTGTTTTTCATTGTAGATTATATTCTTACACAGTAGGTCATTATGGCAAAGCACAACAGGTGAGCCCAGGTTGGAAAGAATCCTCTTCATCCAAGTCATCTCTTCCTGAAGAATCTGAGAGCTTGGAATATCACTTAGGAACCTTTTCATTTTAAAAGAAGAGTTATATCTTGTTTAGAGTAATGACATGTTTTTCAAGTTTGATTAAGGATTAATATCTAGTTTAACAAGTTCTTCCCACTCAATTGCACAGACTCCTGAATTAAAACAAGCCAACTATTCCAAATAGATGGAATACAGAAAAACCTTCGAAAAAACTTAAACATGAAAAAAACTGAGCAATAGTTTAATTGCAGGGCAGAAAAGTAAAAATGATATCACTACAACATTGAAGGAAAAAGTAATATATATTGTTAATAGCTAACACTAAGCAGCATTCTAAATGTTTTACATTTATCTACATTTTACAGAGGGAAAATTAAGATGCAAAGAGTTTAATAAAAAGAGGTTTAAGTATATTACTTAAAGTTATAAAGATGGTCCATTAAAGAACTAAAACATCTATTTCAAGGTTGCAAAGGCAGTATAAATCAGCTAAATTCACATTTCAAACTCAATAGGTATTATCTACCATTGATAAATGGACTCACTATTACATAATCATATCATTATATTATCATATGGCAATAATATTATAGAGTTCTCATATTATCTATTATAGAAATTGCCTCAGAGTAGTCAGACTGGGAAGAGTGAGAGGTCGTGTGGCAAGCTGGCCTAAAGATCATAGCTCTTTACCCAAAACTCTTCTGTACTACTGACTATACTATATTTGTATTAATTTGATGAAAATGAAACAAAAATAGGGTGCTACCACAAATTCCTCAATAGCACCATTAGACTCATAAATGCTGTTAGTTTACTCTTTTTTTGGGTACATGCCCCTAGCGGGAACCGAACCCGGGACTCTCCGGTCCGCAGACCAACGCTCCAAAAGCTGAGCCAAACCGGTCAGGGCATCTTACTCTTTCTCTTCTTCCCTTTACACTTTAAGCTAAGTTCTCTTTATTCTTTCTCTAGTCTCTCAACTTATTCCTTACTTTTCCATTTTATAATATAATAAAGATTCTGTACACTGAATTGACTTTAATGAATATGCCTATTCAGGTGTTTGCCCGTATTTTTCTCACTACTGCATTCTCCTCTACACACAGCTTCCAAAAGTAATTCTTATAGGTTCTTTTTTAAAATGGTGTAACTGTTCAAGAATCTATTTTAAAAGTAAAGTTAAATGAAAATAACAGTATTCAAAGGATTAAGAAAATAATAATTTACAAACATGTACAAACATAAAGGTAATTGATTTTAATGTTCTAGTTGTATATATTTCTATTGGGACAGGATGCTCTCAGCCTGTTATTAATCACCAGGCCTCTCCAGCCTTTCCAAAGTATCACTAGCATCAAGAATTTAAAGTATACCTCGAAGAGTCTAGAAAATATAACCCAAAACCTATCCTAAATAACCTTCTTTGAATAATGATTTTTTAAATAGCAGCTAACATTTATTTAGTACTTAAATGGCTAGGCACTATTCTAACTACTTTCCATATACTAACTCAATTAATCCTCACAAAAACCCTCAAAGTAAATTTACTATTCTTGTTTTTTTTTGTTTTTCATTTTTACAGATGAAGTACATAACTTGTTCACAGTCAAAACGTAGAAACATTAATTGGCAGAACTGAAGTTTGATCCCCAGGCAATACAGCTCCAGAATCTTGTGCTCTGAAACTGTACAATACTATACTGCCTCAACTCTGCTGTCATCTTAAAAAAAAATAAAAATAAAAAATCAAGAAAATCTTGCATTCACCACTGCCATCTACTTCATTATTTTTAAGTACTCTTCCCTAAAATCTTTCAGTAAAGTAGCTATTTCCAAAGAGAATTCTGTTTTCAATCTGTCACGTCCCTAGCACCCTGAACACACTTTTAGACATTTGACATCCCAGTTAAAGGAGTATAATATCCCTGTCAAATTCAAAGTTTTACAAGATACCTGTAGATATTACAGAGAGTGGCTCAAACTGGTGAAATAATCATATTCAACAGAATACAGCTATTTTTCCCTAATAAATTATTTTTAAAAAGACAAGGAAAAAATCTATAGGTCCTATGTGTCGGCTGTTCTAAAACAAAGACTTTCTAAATATAAAAGGTGAAGTTTTCATGTATACTGTACTTTAGATATAAAGAACAAAATAAAAATTCCAATTTTTATACTAATACTAATCACACTATGTAAAAATATAACTTGGAGTCTAAAAACTGATTGCAAATTGTTTTATATAGAAAATAACAAGATGCTGTAGTCACTTTAAACCTGGGGAGTCAGTCTTATAAAATCTGAATAAATGAATTTTCAATCTCATTATATGGGACTTCAATAGTCACAATAAACTAATACAACCTAAACTTTTTCACATTCCAATATTACTATGCTGCTCCAATGTAAACTTTTAGGCTTATTCAAAACAGCTTTGAACAAAAAGGTTTTTTAAAAAATCTCAATGGCCCAGCTGGTGTGGCTCAGTGGTTGAGTGTCAACCCATGTACCAAGAGATCGCTGGTTCGATTGCCCGGGTTGTGGGCTCGATCCCCGTGGGGGACATGCAGGAGGCAGCCAGCTGATGTTCTCTCACATAGATGTCTCTATCTCTCTCGCTCTCCCTTCCTCTCTCTGAAATCAATAAAAAATAAATAAATAAATAAATAAATAAGTCTCAATGGTCAACTGATACTATGCAAAAACATAACTTATTCATAGAAATCTTTGTATTCATAGTTACTTGCAAATATATTTCTATATTTATTTTTTGGCCCCTCACCTCTGCCCACTCCATAACCCCTGCTTTTGTAGGATTCTTTTCTTTTCTTTTTTTTTTTTTTGAGTCATCTAGGGGAAAAAAGAGCCTTTATTTCTGTAGTGCCATCTGAAAGTCAAATGAATCAATGCTTATTTTATTTAAATGCAAAGAGATAAATCAAACCAGATTTTATACACAAAAACCTCGTAGTTATCTTTGAGTCCTAATACACAGAGCAAAGAAATGTAAAATATCATTTCAAAAGTAAGAGTAATTTTGTAATTTTTACCTTTTATTAAGATCTTCATCTGCAAATCCTGTGGGAATGAGAGAGAAGTATTTCCTCATCTTTAGCCATAGATTAGATTTGGGAATCCAGCCATTGTGTGCATGGATAGCATGAATTTTAGCAAGCTGACGTGCTATTAGTCTGTTTAGAAACAAAACATCATAAAAAGAAAATGTTAAGCATTATATAGTTCTTATCTAGTCACAGGTAAACTAAACCAACTAGTGTGGCCCGACCACTGTGGCTCAGGGGACTGAGCGTCATCCCATGAACTAGGACATCCTGGTTCGATTCCCAGAGCACATGCCCAGGTTGCGGGTTTGATCCTGGGTAGGGGGTGTGCAGGAGGCAGCCGATTGATGTTTCTGTCTCAAGTCGATGTTTCTCTCTCTCTCTTCCTTCCTCTCTCTCTAAAAAAGTCAGCAAAAAACATATTTTAAAAAACAACTAGTGTGCATTTCTTATAACATAATTTCATTTTTATCATAAATTTATAAGATGCAAAATAACCTGGCAAGTCAACTCTCACAAGGAAAAACAAAACAAATGCTTAAAGCATCAGAAGGAAGAAGACTATAATTAATATGGCAATTAAATAATGTGTAAAAAAAAGGGTTGAGTGTCTGAAAGCAGGTGGCCTATTTTTTTTTTTTTATCCTCACCTGAGGACATTTTTTCATTTTTTGTTCAGATAGTGTGGGAGGGAGGGAGGGAGAGAGAGAGAGAGAGAGAGAGAAACATCGATGTGAAAGGGACACATCGAGTGGCTGCCACCCACACGACCCAGCCAGGGCTAGGGACAAACTGCAACTGAGGTACGTGCCCTTAGCGAGAATTGAACCCAGGTCTCTCTGGACCGCAGGCCGATGCTCTAACCGCTGAGCCAAACTGGCCAGGGCAGCAGGTGGCCTATTTTGATTACACAATGTTTGAGACCAACAGAACAATACACAATTATAAATGAAATCTAGACACATATCAGAAATTAGAGATACATACATCTAAATTATACTGAGTCACTTAAATTTTGAGCTTTTGAGATTAAAGGGCAAAAGGGACTAACGTAAAAAGGGAGATAAATAGGTTCTATGAGTTAATTTCTATAACTGTTCAAAACAAATTCTCTGAACAAATATTAAGATTTTATGACATTCTTGACGAAACCTCAAAATAATTTGAAGTTGCATATACTTGTGTTATGTTTGTCTCTGCAGAACCCAGTACAGCCTATGTTGATGGAGGAAAAAGCACATGCTTTTTCCTACCAAACAGAAATAAGAAATAAGTTACCAAATGGCCTAGGGTAGCGAGTGAAAAAATGACTTAACAGTAATCCATAAATTAAAGAACTTAAAACTGGCAAATTTTCAAGAGGCTAACAATCTAGTGTAATGTTCCTCTATTAGTTCTACGTCCTAACATAGCACCATGTACAAATGTCTGAGTTCCTACCTCAGATCTAATTAATCACAATCTCTGTGGTTGGGCCCCAGCAATCTACAGTTTAAGCAAGATCTCCAGGTGATCCTAATCCACTGTAAAATCTGAAGGGCAGTAATATAATGCTCTGCAACTTGGCTACGTTCTGAAATCAAACTTTGGCACTTCAAAGAAAAATACAGAGCCTTGGGTACTACCCATAGAAATTGTGATTTTAATTGGTCTGGGCATCAAGATATTTAAAAGCTTCCCAGATGGCCTCGACCAGTTTGGCTCAGCAGCTGGAGCGTTAGCTTGCGGACCAGAGTCCTGGGTTCGGTTCTGCTAGGGGCATGTACCAAAAAAATAAATAAAAAAATAAAAGCTTCCCAGGTGACTTCAATATGCAAAAGTGGTTGAGAACCACTCAAACTAAGGCACACATCTAACACTGTAGTAATACTTCCCCAACCTGTGATTATATAATAATTATTAGTTTTATACTATAGTGAATATTCTTATCTATCTAGTTTCTAGTTTCCAGTAACAAAAGAGTTCTGATTTTCCTTTGGAGAAACTTCCATCCCCCTCATTTTTAGTTCATGTGATTCATACAGAGTTTATCTCAATCCTGACTCCCTGTCCTGTCTGCAACAGTAACTTTAGGAGTGAACATGAGATACACACTTGCCCAGAGCATTCCATCCTTCAGGTCACAATAATTGTTTCATATTACCCTAGCTGGGCCAAAAGGAGTTGATTATAGAACTTTTCTTGAAGCTTTGACTTTGGTTGAAGCCATTAGAAAAAGAGGAATCCCTCACCCTACAACCTGGCGTGGCAAAACTAATTAGATAAGCCTGAAACTGCTGATCATTGTAATTGTCACCCTTAAGAAAGCTTGCCAGAAATAAAACACAGAATTTTTTTTTTAAAAGAGAATGATATTCCTAATGATACTGTTCTGAGCCCATGGATCCATCCGTCCTTAAACCATTTCTCAGTTATATGTACCAATAAATTTCTTCAAGTCAGTTTGAATTCTCAACTTACCATCCTCAATCAAGAGTCCTAATGCATTACCAAAATATTAAAATTTGTAACCTTTTTAGGTGTGTGTGCTTTGGTTCATACCTCTCAAACAAATTAGGAAACAAACTATTCTTTATATAAGTTAAGTAAATGCTACTTGACTGACTTTCCCAACGATCACATACTCATGTCTAACAAGAATACAGTAAAAGAGAAATCTATTGTTATGGCAATTTTTCATACATGCATACGCCCAAATGAATGTATGATACTTAAAGCAGAAGGGAACTTCAGGCAAAAGCCAGGTGGTGATAAAGACAAAACAAAGGAGAGGGCAAATGCACACACACGTGCGCGCGCATATGTATACAGACATGTATATGCGTGTGAGAGACCTGAAAAAAGGTGTGATTTGTGTTGCATAAAAATCATGGGGCAATCTGTATCAACAGAACATTATGTTCTAGAAATGTTTACTGAACAAATGAGACTGGTGATCCAGAAGAGTCACATATTAGAACAGGTATTTAACACCAACAAATTTTATTTACTGTTATTTTAATAAATAAGTTAATAATGTCAATTTTTATCATTTTACCCCAGAATTGGTATGAAACTCAGATTTGCAAACTATAAAATGTAGTTTCAGAAGTTGCCTGATTATAAGTTATTTAGCTGGGAGTGACTGGAATGACAATTCAAAAATGAATAATATATGTGGCCACAATTCCAAGGGGTTCTTCTTCTAGATTAATACAATCTGTTAAAGATGAATAGTTGCTAATAGAGAAAGCACTTACAAATTTTGAATGCCTTGACTTTTCTAGCAGAAAGATGGAGTTAATTGGGGCTGAGCCAGGATTTGAACTAATTATGTGATGCAAAAGCCAAGCCCTTTCCACTACAAAAGACCCTCATAACACTGCACAAATTTAGATGGGTTTTCATTACGACTTTGCCATTGTATTTTCAACTACAGAACTAAAACAAATGATTCAATTTGAGCTTCAGTTTTCTTACAAAAAAAATTTTAAAAAACATTACTGTTTTTAAATTATATGCCACTGAATACCAGAAAATAAATTACATAAAAATTTAAGCCCAGCCAGTATGGCTCAGTAGACTGAGCATCGTTCCATGGACTGAGAGGTCTTGGTTCCATTCCCAGTGAGGGCACATGCCTGGGTTGGAGGCTCAATCCCTAGTAGGGAGCGTGCAAAAGGCAGTGGACTGATGTTTCTCTTTCACATCGATATTTCTATCTCTCTTAAAAAAAAAAAAAAAAAAAAACAGCCCTGGCCAGTTTGCTCAGCGGTTATAGTGTTGACCTGCAGTCTAGAAAGACCCGAGTTTGGTTCCCACTAAGGGCACGTACCTCGGCTGCAGTTTGTCCCCGGCTCTGGTTAGGTCGTGTGGGTGGCAACCATTTGATGTGTCCCTTTCACGTCGATGTTTCTCTCTCTCCCTCCCTCCCTCCCTCCCTCCCACTTTATCTGAACAAAAATGTAAAAATGTCTTCAGGTGAGGATAAAAAAAAAAAAAAAAAAAAATCAATAAAAAAATTTAATTGGTGACAGCATGAACTTCACATTCATAATCATATACAAAGATCCTGTAAAATAACTCTCCATTTCACACCAATTTCCTACTAGTTATACTAGAAATATTGAATGAACATAAACTATGAATTAACAAGCAAAATTTTCCAAATAATATTAATTTTTAAAAAAAATTATCATATATAATTTCTACTTTGCCCAGCCTGTTTGGCTCAGTGGTTGAGCATTGATCCATGTACCAGGAGGTCTCCAATTCAGTTCCCGGTCAGGGCACAAGCCCGGGTTGTGGGCCTGGTCCACATATTAAATAGTGGGGGGGTGTGGGACTCGGCCAGTGGATGTTCTCGCTCATTGATGTTTCTCTCTCCCCCTCTCCCTTCCTCAAAAAAAAAAAAAAATACATATATATATATATATATGTATATGTATGTATATATATACACACACAAAATTTTCTACTTTGAACAAATTTAATAATACATATAAAATGAGTTACTTTTATATTAATTTTTTTAAAAACATTTCTGCATAAGGTAATATATCCCTGCTCAAATGGAAAAAAAACCTAAAATATTAATGACCATACTATAGCAAAATTAATATTTGCCAAAAAAATCTATATCAAAATTAAGAGCTAATTACTTTCTAAAGTAAATTATAGATGTATTTATTTGCCTTATCTATAAGTTCATTGTTGAAATAGAATTAAATTATATAAGGGGCAAAATATTAAATAACTGTACCGTGCTTAATAGATAAAAATACATTGAGTGTTATTTAAGCCTCATTCTTTCATCTATTGTAGCACTCGGCACTTAGAAGAGCTACTTAACAGGTACTGATGAATTAAGAGTCATTATCTTAGCAACAGACTCAGAGTACATTTAGAAATTTACCATAAGACCAAGGGATTCTCCCACTATTAGGTTTATTGTCATGTGGATTAAAATCTATCATGGATTTTTAAACATTTCATATAGTAAGAACTGTAACAAAATTAATGCCTTACTATATAAAAACAAAGTGACCATTTGAAATACTGCCTGTTCTTTTACAAGAAAGACACATCTTATAAAAGCCTCTTCTCAAAGTACAGAATTCAAGTCAATTTCTACAGGTCTCAAAACTACC